CAGCTGCAGGGGTGGCTTTGTGGCAAAGCCATCCTAGGCACTGCCACATAATCCTGGTCCTTGGGAGGGCAGAGAGGAGCAGACCCGCCTGCCGGCCATGCGGCTGACTCAGCTTCACCCATACTCAGCCCATCAACAGGACTTGCTCAGCTCTTCCCTCCCACACGTGGGGTTGATCACAGTTCCTCTGCTCCCCCGAAGGGGCGGCCAGCTTGGGTGCTGGGGGTCTTCCTGCCTGCACAGTCTGGCACAGGGAGCCGGGGTGGCACGGGCCGGTGGGCTGCTTGGCAGGAAGCTTTCTTGACACCAGGTCTTTGCTTATGGAGGACACTTGAGCTTTCCAGGTGTACAGCCATTATCTTGGTTTTAGCACTCTCCAGCTGGGCCGGGTCCCTGTCACTCAAAGCCCGTCTTCAGGTCTGGTGCTAGAAGGCTCTCACACAGCCTGCAGCAGTTTTTTTTAATAAAGTAAGAAAAACAGTCCCGTGTTCCTAACATTTCTGTGTGCTAAAACTAAAATATAAAATACACCTTGTCCTAGCAGGCAGGGGATTGGCGTCGGCTCTGCAGGGTAGTAAAGATGCATTGTGTACACTTCCCCTGGGGCACCAGGGCAGAGAGAGATCTCGAAATGCGAATGATTACATGTTCAGCCGTCGTCCGCAACCCTTCCGCGCTGCAGCCTGTCCTACTCGCTGTCGCTCTTGTCCACCAGTACCGCGTCAGACTCCTCCGTGATCTCCAGCAGCGTGTGCATCTCGGGGCTCTCCCCACGCAGCAGATCCGAATTTTCTCCCTCCTCTCCACCAACCTCCACCAGCTCCTTGGCTTTCACTTCTACCTCACCCTCTCTTATTTTCTTGACATGGAAAGTAAAGGGTGGCACCTTGTAGACGGCTGTCTTGGACCTGGCATAGATGGTATGGTCAGGGGTGAAAGACTTCCTCAGCTTGTCCCGAGAGGTCTTCATCTTCTCTCTCCTTTCGTTAGTCACAATCTTGGTGCCCAGTTTGTTCATCCTCTTCTCCAGGTTGTGGCGGGTCTTCTCCAAGTTGTGGCGGGTCTTCTCCAGGTTTTCCTTGGTCTTTAGCTTAGTCTTCTCCATCTTCTCCTTTGAGAATGCCTTCTTAAAGTCATCCACTCTTTTCATGCCGCTCCTTTTGATGCGTTCTGCCCGTGACTCTTCGATAATCTCTTCAATCTCCACCTCTTCATCCGAGGAGAGCTGGATGTGGTCCTCTTCTGCATGGTCCTCGCCCACAGGCACCTCCTCGCCCTCGCCTTCCTTCTCTAGCTTTTCACCCTCCTTCAGAGACTTGCTGATGCTCAGTTTAGACGGGAGCTTCACTTCATCCTGCAAGACACAGAGCGGAGCCAGTGAGACACACACACCCGGCCGGCCTCTCCAGCCTCGGGGGCCAGCCCCACCCCTCCCAGCAGTGCCGCAGAGCAGAAGCGCCGCTACGATTCATAAGATTCATGGCTAAGCCAACCCAGGCAACGTCAGGCCTGGGCTCATCCTCCCTCAGTGCACCTGATAAATTACTGTAAAGAGGATCTGCTTTACTGGCAGCAGCTTAGGGCTCTGCTGTATTTAAGCTCAGGTATACCAGTTCTGCTCACTCTGGGCTGGTTCCAAACCCATCTGTGACTCCAGCAGCACAGGGAGAGGCAAGCCAGCACTGAAACTGGAGACTTTTCCCTTCCTCCTGTGCCTCTGTCACAATCCTGTCCCCTCCAGTTTCATCTTCATCCCAGGACCTGGCCATTGCTTAGCCCCACTGCTGGCCCCAGAAAAGCCCCCGCCTGCATCCTGCCATGGTAGGGTGCAGGGACCCCCTGTGAGCAATGTGGTGCCCCAGCGCCTGCCCAGAGCCCTTCCCATCCCCTCCAGCCCACGGCGTTTCAGCTTCCTTCCCACACGTGGTCTTCTCTTGGTAAGACCACTGGTTGCCCCCAGCTCTGTGGCCTGGCCAGGGTCCAGCCCATGGTGGCCCCAGGCGCGGCACAGTCTGGAACCGCAAGTCCGGCCAAGCCGCCCGACGTGCACGCTGGCCTGGCTGACCCCAGTCTGTGCTCAGACTTTCCCAAGACCTGCAGGATCCAGATGTGGGGCTGGGATATCTCTTGGGATGCTGCAGGCTGCCCTGGTTTTCCCATTTCTCTGCTGGGGAATAAGTTAGGGAATTTTTCCGAGCCTGTATCTGAAGATGGTGAAACAGCGGCCCCGACTCGCACAGCTAGATCTGCAAGGTTACGCTGTCTCCTCGGGACAGGGGGTGAATTCATTCAGCTTCTCCACTCCCCCGGGTCAGCCAAGTTTCTGATCCCAGTGGCAGAGGACAAGCATGTGCCCAGGAGAGGGGCACTGGTCTGAAGTGGGATTGGTTTTCATCTGAGCAGCACATAGCGTGCGTCCCTGCTGCAATGAATCACCTCTCTGTTCCCAGGACAGGCTGGAAATAGCCCATCACTGTACGAAGCGTCACAGCTGTGGGGCTGCAGCCCACGTCTCAGAAATTTATTGCCTGAGTGGTTTTAATCTACGGAGTTGGGTGGGAGAGGCATGGAGCTGCCGAGACGAGCACTGTCAGAAGGCCAGCAGCAGCCGAAAGGCAGTGGTGTGGAATAGGCATGCGGAGAGCGGAGCTGCTGGGCTGAGATTTGGAGAAAAGCTTGGGCAGCAGGACGCCTGGGCACCATTCCCAGCCCCGGGGCAGACAGGAGCTGAACAGAGCAAGGATGGGGGATCCCAGTCCAATGCTAGCAGGAGCAGGACCCAGTGAAATCAAGGGGCAGACCCCAGGGTACCCCAGGCCCGAGTGCTTGAAGTCCATGGCAAACACCGACAGCGACTCGCCTTCCCCTGGCTCGGGGATGCTGGGAGCAGAGATGCCCCGTGCCCTGGGATGGTGAATTTGCCGTGGCATCTCCCATGCAAGGCTGCACACTCTGCATGTGACATTTGCATAGCAGTAACCATTGCACCAACATAGCCATGAGCTAACGAGCTATGCAGATGTCAAGAGTCAGGACACTCGTGATGGTCAAACCACCAAAACAGCCACCGAGGCTCAGCCCCAAGAGCTGCCCTGACTCCAGCCCCACTTCTGTGCAGGTTTCTTCGGTGTTGCCATGGCAGAGGATGTCCCAATCCCCCGTGCAGTGCTGGCAGGGACGACGTGTTTGCACACCCGCGCTCCAAGCGCTTTCCCAATACCACACCAACACGCTGCTGCTCTGACTGACCAAGGTCACCGCCACGCTGCTGCTCCGGCCTGAGCCGCTGGACGGAGGCAGGACGGGATGCTCCCTGCACAGACACAGGACTGCTCGGTTCAGCCAGCTACGCTCTCCCCAGCAATTCCTTCCCTTCTACCACTTGAGAACTGAGATAAGCATATTGAATATGTGACTCCAGCACGGCTTCACCTGGAAAAACTTTGTGAACGATGAAAAGTCAGCTCCGTGGAGCACTAGTCTCAGTGAAGGTGACAGAGGCTGCGGTGTCCGCGGTCAAAACACAGAGTCTGCCAATCTGCCAGTCCCTAACCCTAACCCTAACCAGTCTGTACGGATTTTGTTCTGGGTTTTATTCAGAGCAGAGAGCTGTGTTGGGCAAAGCTCTTCACCGTCCAGATCACAGCTCAGGTCCCAAATATTTTCTGGAGATTAAGGTGAAATGGCCAACATATGTTTTCTTCATTTGATTAGCCACTTCAGGAGAAAACAATACACGTGTTCTCTGGAGGGTCAGGTCGGTCCAGAACAAATCCACATCACTGGGAAGGCAGGGATCCTGTTCTCCATAACAACACCTGCTGGAGCAATCCCAGAGACTCCCGGAGACCCTGCCCTGCTGAGCCAAGAACATCAGGAACTCCATCCACTTCCTTCCCTCGAATCAACACAATGAGCCAGAACAAAGGCATCCCCCTCTCGCCTGGCACGACTGCCGCTGGAAACCGGCCATATCCTGCAAACTCAGATACTTATCAGCCTCTTGTTAGCTCCAGAACATGTGTGTGCAGAAAGAAACACCATCTCAAAAACTCCATGTCTGCCACATAAATAACCGCCTTTCCTCGTATTGCACCAGCAAATCCATCTTCTGACTGCATTTTCTGATGTGGCTGAATGGGCTTGCACCAGTAACACGCCCATCCGACCTCAGCAGCAGCCTGCAACTCCTTCCTCGTAACCGTGAAGACGTGGCCAGCAGCAGCTCCTGGTTCAGGGGACAGCTGGAGCAACCCTGTTAGGGTGACAGTGTGGCTCTCTGTAATCCCTGCCACTTAATCCTGAGAACAGAATTGCCCGGCTGTTTGATCCTAACTCCCACAGACTGCACTTATGTACAGACCCACACTTCTGCTGTCCTGTGCACCGTCCCCGCAGGCAGCTGCCCTGGCCCCAGCCCAGCGGCGCTCATGGACTTGAGACTCTGCTCGCACATTTGTCAGGAGGCACCCTCACTGCTCAAACACAGAGGCAAAGCTATTCCCATAAGTAAGGATGCCTACAATCCCAGCCTCCCCCCTCGAGACTGTTTCCTAGAGCTTTTCTCCAGCTGCACTTGGGAAACCTTTGCAGTCCTCACCCATCCCCTTTCCCGCAGGGCCAGGGTGACCAGGGGTGACATGCCTGCCACAGGGCCATCAGGCCAGCCGAGGGCCCCCAGACAGCACATCTCTCTTTCCTATGCCTGGTATAATTCCTGCATTTTTTTCTCCTGACTCTTCTTCAATCTGATGGCTTATCTGAGCCGTAGATAACCAGCTGGAGGACAGCTGGTGGATTTTCAGCGCTGTGTGCCGTGGGTCACTTTCCTGACTCAAAGCCCACCTCCACCTAGGGAGC